GGGCTGCCCTGGGGGGATGGAGCCTGGCACTGGGGTTGTGCATGCTGTGGCGGGGGGCCAGGCGCCCTGCGTGTGGAGGGGCTGGCAGCAGGGGGAAGCCAGCTGGGAGGCTGGCAGCGAGGCCATGGCTGGGAGTGCTGGTGACAGGGGTGGGCCCTAGTCTTACAAAATCCCTCACTTGGGACTGGTCAGGTCCCAAGGGTGCTGGACCAAGGAGGTACAACCTGAAGACCATTTAGTACTTAGCCCTGCCTTGAGTGCTGGGGACTGGACTAGAAGACCTCTCAAAGTCCTTTTATGTCCTATGATTCGATTCTATGATTAACTAGTGTAACTGGATATTCTTATCCATACAAATGTCCAATTCTTCAGTCTTGTGAAATTCTTGGCCTCAGAATACATACCTAATACCACTCACTAAACATGAAGCATCTTCCTAAACCTTTCATGACTGTGGTTCTGAACTCAAATTCTTATCAACAAGTGTTAAGTTCTGAGATCTCATTTCCAACTGGTATCCTTGATAGTAGCTTTAGCAGAGGTAGGGTATGTCTACACTACCCCCCTAGTTTGAACTAGGGGGATAGTATAGACATACCCGTAGAGAGGTTTGAATAGGATATGCAGACTCAATTGCCCTCATTCTTAGAGGTGGACGCTTGTATCTGAGGGTGTTATGTTGCATGGAGAAACCCTGAACAAATTATTTACTCTCTATGCCTCTGTTTTCCTATGTGCACTTTGAAATCAATGGGTGAAAAGTACTTTATAAAAGCTAATATTCTATACCATGGAAACATCACTCTCCAAGACCATCAACTTGGCACCTTTCAGGAGCATGCATCACATGTGAAAAAAATAATTGTGTATTATTTACAGAATAAATTATTAAACAATGCGTTAAAACTGAAAAGATAAGTCTATAATCTTACCAGCTCTTTTAATCCTCTTTCTCTCCTTCAGTTGATAGGGTTTGTGATCATGTGACAAAGGGATAGCATTCCCATCTTTATCACACAAGACTCCCCGTGAATCACCAACGTTGGCCACTGTAAGTTCTTTATCTGACAGCAACGCAATCAAACAGGTAGTACCTAAAAAAGAAGGAAGGGGGAAAAAAAGAGGCAAGACAATGAAATAAAAATCACCACTAGTTACACTGCAGCTTCCTTCCGTTGTTATCTGTACTCAGCAGCCAGAGGGAACAGCAGTAGCACATGTATCTGACTGAAACATCTAGTACTTTGATGAGAGTCTATTTAATGGCATTGATCAACTGTGACAGTCAATTTCTTCTAACAATATTTGTAGTCTATCAGATTTTAACTCTGATTAACAGGGATTGCAGGGTCATTCCCCTAGCAGAGCTTCTCATCTGCTTTGTCGTTTAGGCATTTTAAAAATGACTTTATAGAATAAACCTTCTTGGAAAGAGAAACTTCTTCCAAGATACACCTTGTATTTCTCTGTCTCAGGGGATGATGGGTAAAATAGCTGTTAAAAAACCCAAGGGGTGTCTGTTGCTTAGACTTGATAACATTCACCAGTAGGAGAATGTGCTCCAAATTAAGAAAGGCCTCCAGCCGTGGGGAGCGGTGGTGAAGGGACCATGTCTTTGCAGAGCTCATCCCTCCCAACCCATTCTCTGTAGCTGGAAGTAGCTTGTCCCTTCCTTCCCGCACAGTGTTGAAAGGCAGCCCACACCTCCAGATTGCCCCAGCCACTTTCTGTCCCTTGGCTACAGTATGGGCAGGAATGGCTAAGTCAGGGACAGGCAAAATTAGGGATGTTAGATACTGTGTAATTGAATATCTGTGTAACTGCATAAAATGTTAGCAGTTACACGAGCATTCAATAGTCCCCAGGGTGGGGCTGGCGGACAGTGCACTCCCAGCTCCACTCCTGGGGATCCCCCTGCCTACCATCCCACACTGCTGCATCTGATGCAGAGGCCACAACTGAG